TCCCCCCTCTCCCATTTAAGGTATAAATTACTTGTGCACCATGAACTGTTCACTCAAGTCCTCACATGTAGAGTTAAGCATATAGATATAAGTTACATAATCTGCTGTTCTGTATTATTCACATGTATCTCCATATATACATGCATACACACACACACACACACACACACACACACACACACACACACACGTCACACTTTTTGCTTCACAGGGGGGCCTGGGCTCAGATTCCCTCACTAAAATCTCCCCCCCCCCTCCCCCCCCCCCCCCTCCCATTTCAAGTTACAAGTGACTGCTTACGAAGTTTTCACTCAGGTCCGCTCATACAGCTTAAATCGATAGGCATAGATATCAGTCCCAGTTACTGTGCATTGTGAAGGCTTCACTCAGGTCCAGTGTTTGCTCTCTTTCCCCCACCCCGCTTCCCTGTTAGTGTTTCTAGCTTAATTGAAATTATTCACTTAACAGATATGGCAAGAAAAGTCATAAAATGGGGCAAAACCGACTTAACAAATTTCTCACCTAACAATGTACATTTGGGGCTTAATTGTGGTCATAAGTTGTGGACTATACCTGTATTAATACCACCTTTGCTTTCTTTTGCCACAGACATTCTACTTCTGTTTGTGGCTCTTTGTATTTTGTTCCTTTTCCTTCTTATTAGCATTAATATTATCCAAAGTAGAGGAAATATAAACAGCTGGCACAGGAAACAAAAACCATCCAGAAAGAGATGTTATTATCCTGCTGCTGCTACTGAGTTTCCAAGGTATCGGGTGCTTTACTTTCATTAGCAGTTAATTGAAAAAATATATATATTTTTTCATCGAGACCTTGAATTCGTTGAATAGCTTATTATCCTTCCTCTCCTGCTGTGGAGCGATCTGCTTAGTTCTGCGGTTACAAGTCTCTTGGCTCATTAGGAGAAATTTTATTCAAAGCAACTGTTTTTGGCATAAAATATTAAACTGGCATCGATTGAAATTTGTGCCAGTTTCTTTCTCTCTCTCTTAGCTGGGGAAAGGTTCGTAATACCCAGATATAAATCAAGGTTAGAGTTTGCAGACCTTAAAATATCTGCAGATTCCCCCTCCCAACAAGGCCTCTGAATTCCATAGCATCCTCCCTCCAAAAGAATGCTTTTTTTCTTTATTGATTTTCTTTATTTATTCATTTACTTATTTGATTTCTACATCTGCCAATCTCCATAAGTGACATCTTCCTGTTATAGAGCCAAAAGACAAATAACGTACAGTATTTATTGTGTGTGTGTGTGTGTGTATGTCCTAAAAGCAGGGTATTTCTTAGTGTTTGGACCAGGCTCTCCATTTTGTGAGAGTGCTCGCAGCGGCGTTGCAAGTACGGCCATGAGTCTCCCTAAAGTATCGCTTTGTGAAATCTTGGGGTGCAAAGGGCCTCAATAGAAAATCCCCCAATAATCTCCCTGGTGAACCAAATGGAGAGGTTTGATTTAAATAGGATGAATTTGCAAAATTTGGGGCGAGATCTTTGACTTATGACCACAATTAAGCCGAAAATTTCCATCGCTAACCAAGATAACTGAGTTTTGTTCCATTTTATAAACTTTCTTACCACAGTTGTTAAGAGAGTAATATGGTTGTTAAGTGAATCTGGCTACCCCATTGAGTTGGCTTGTCAGAAGGTTGCAAAAGGAGATCATGTGACCCCGGGATACGGCAGATGTCATAAATACGAATCAGTTGCCAAGCGCCTGCATTTTGATGATGTGAGATGGGGATGCTGCAACGGACGTAAGTATGAAAAAGGGTCATAAGTCAGTTTTTCCAGTGCCGTCATAACTTTGAACGATCGCTTAAACGAATGCTTTCTAAGTCAAGGACGACCTGAATCTACAGCCTTCCTTTTCAGAATACAATTTAAGGGGAAAATCTCTTTCGTGTTGCTTTTCCTTCTCTTCCTGCAGTTCACAGAGGAGAAACTTGGTCAGGCCGAGAAGACTGAATTAGACGCTCATTTTGAGAACCTCTTGGCTCGCGCAGACACCACCAAAAATTGGACAGAGAAGATCTTACGACAGACAGAAGTCCTGCTCCAACCGAATCCCAGTAAGCATTTATTAGCACCCAAAGGGCACTGATACATTAGGACCGGTCAGAAGTTATTACTATTATTAGTGTGGCTCCGTTGGCTGTGGAAGAAACTGGGGAAGGGCAAAGTCCGGCTGGGCAGAGCAGGGAAGGGGTAGAACAAGGGAGTGGGAATTCAGAGGAAGACCCAGGCCCACCCCCTCTTCATCCTAGGGCACTCAGGGAGGAACGGAGAAGGGAGCGATGTGGGTTGCATGGCTTACGGGGGAGGAAAGGGCCCTGATTCCCTTCATTAGCTGCAGCTGGGAACGCAGTGTTTAAAAAGGGAGGTTGTGCCCAGCAAATTGTTGAGAGCAAATCGTGAATTATCTGGTATTGTGGAGGCTTATCTGTGTTCCTGGCATCTTCCCAACTGTGTGAGTTTTGCTGGCCTTTCAAGGCTGCAATTCCTTCTCCTGCCTTGTCCAGTTAATTGCTGCAGCGTGGTTTGTGTGGATTTTTATTTACAGTTTGTATGTACTTTGTTTTTGGACTGGATTTCCTCCACTTAAAGGCTGTTCCTGGGAGAGTTTTTTCCCCCAGCCGAAGATAACCTGGACATTGGGAGCAACGTTGGAGATAATAAAGGGACTCTTCTTGCTTATTTGACCGGGTTGCCTTTCTGTCATCACAGTGTCTGTCCGTTTGGTCGCAGGTGCCCGAGTTGAAGAGTTCCTCTATGAGAAGCTTGACCGGAAGGTCCCGTCTCGGGTCACCAATGGGGAACTTCTGGCTCAGTACATGATGGAAGCGGCCAGCGACTTCGGCGCCACCACTCCATACGGTGAGTCACGGCCAGCGGAAGCTTTCGTTCCCTCCCGAGATCAGGTGTTTGGACAGGTGCAAAGCACGCAGGTAGAATGGTCTATCCCACTTCTGCTTTTCCTGGTACCGTTCTCATGGATTCAGCCCTCTGTTGGAGATGCTCGACTTCGCCCTGTCTGAGGGAGGGGTTGGGCTGGATGACCTCCAGGGGATTTTTGTCTCCCTGATGGCAGGCAGCTTTGACTCCCTGCCAAGAGAAGTGGAATTTGAATGTAGTGTTTAGAAAAAGGATTTTCCTATCAGCCAGGGGGATTTGACGAGCAAGAAAACTGCCTTTTCTTGGCTGGACACGTCCACCCTGAGGCTGCTTTTCTGTGGGGGTTCAAATCCGTGGCCTCAGGGATCCTTTTGAACTCAGCAGTCCCACTGTTCGGAAGGGGAAGAGTTGCATTCCTGGAGGGTGCCAAAGGAAGAGGCTTGGCAGCTTCCGGTATCTTAAGAGACTTCCCAAATTGGAATTCAGCCCAGCGGGGATGGGAGACCACCAGGAAATGCCAACTGTGCATTCTCTCGCTTAGGCAAAACCCTCATCAAAGTTGGCGAAACCGAGCGGCGTCTGGGAGGAGCTGAGCGGGACTTCATTCACGCGGCTTCCATCAATTTCCTGACTCCTCTGCGCAACTTCCTGGAAGGAGACTGGAGAACCATTTCGGTGTGTAAAAATGGAGGAGGGGGAAGCAGGCAATGTGGGGGAAGAGGGCCCGTTTGGATTGAAGGGGTTTGCCTGCCAGAGCAAGTGCGGCTTTGTTAATATTGGCTTCCTATACCACTTTTTATGTTATTGTTGCGGGACTGTGTGCCAAATTTTCAAAGCCGACAGATGCATCTGCATTTAATTTGTAAATTTATTTATTTGTTTATTAAATTTATTCATTTATTTATTAAATGTATTACCTACCTCGCCACGCGGCTAATCTAAACTAATCTGAGTCTAGGATTACCTCTATATCCGATTCCAAAACTGTAAAAGCACCCGCTTGAGGGGGAATCAGAATACAGAACAGGGAGGTGGAAGGGACCCTGGAGGTCATCTAGTCCAACCCGGGACTTTTCTCTGCTTTCCAGAAAGAACGACGGATCCTGGAAAACCGTCGGCTGGACCTGGACGCTTGCAAAGCTCGGCTGAAGAAAGCGAAGGCCGCGGAGGCGAAAGCCGCGGTAATTTTTTCCCCTCTCGCCTTCTCCCACCCATCCTGCCTGCCAGTGTGTGTATATCTATCCATCATCACACGGCACGCCAGATCCCGTCGCTTTCCTTCTTTCTCGCCCGCCGGATGGGTTGTGCGCTGTGTGTGTTTCTGATGAGGAAGGGAAAGGCTTGATGTGTTTGTGACGTCTTCTGCCTTCACCCCCACCTACCCCCCAAAAAAGAAAGGAAACAGAGCAGGGCATTGCCTGTTGCAACAGGGAGAGAGAGAGAGAGAGAGAGAGAGAAATGGCCCCAGATGTCTGCGTTTTGTCGTTTGCAAGGACGGCACATGAATTCCACTGGAGGGTTAAACGTTCATTTAATAACCTCCACAAAACCCTCACGAGTTACGACTAGGATGCGTAAGTGCCATTGCGGCCGTACATTGAGAACCAGAACAGGAATTGCAAATCCTGGGCAAAAAAAAAACAAAACAGCCAGTTTTCCTGGCATAACTTTTTGCACAGTTTCCACCCGATTCAAGCTTCCTTTCCCAGAAACTTAACATCCTAGTCCTCGTTGAACACTTAGGCCACCCGGGACCTTAAGCAGCATCCAGTTAGGAATGATCCTGGCCTGTCCAGCCGGAAGCGTCTTAACAAACCTTGTTGGATGCCGGAGATTTTGGTTGTTTCCTGCCTTGTTTGGTTTCCTTACACGCCTTTTTGCTATTCTGAATATTTTGTCCTTCCTGTGTCCTGCTCTTTGCTCCACTAATCTCTGCTTTCGTTTTGTCCTCTCTTTTTTTTTTTTGTTTTAAATTATTTTCGTCTGTAATTTTCCTCAGTGTGAGGGAACTGTGAGTATTACTTGTGTTAGTAGTGCTGTGATCTTATTATTATCATCGTCATCATCATTATGTTTCGGATCTCATTTGAGAAGGCCTCTTGGGGGGTGCATGGAGAGAAGGGGGTAGGGACTTGGAGGTGGGGATCCTCCCTGCAGTGAAGGCCGTGGGCCCCTTCCTCAGATATGGAGCTGGGTTTCAAAGGTAGGACTGCGGGAAACAGGGCTGTGTGTAGACCGTGCCAGCAAAATTTGGTTTTAAAGTTTGGTTTTGTCCTTCTTTTCTTTTTTTCCCCAAGTTAAGTTTTTAGTCCTTAAGAGATGCAAAGCCATAATACTTGAAAAGGAGGAGGCTGCCATTTCGATTGCTGGATCTGATTTTCTGCGCTGGTCTCTTCTTTTGCCACCATAAAGAGGTGGAGGCTGTTGGTTGGTTGGTTTTTTTTAAAGGAAACCAGGTTACACACAGCCCTGGTTTTTTTTTGGGGGGGGAGGGAAAGGGGTGTGAGAATGGCATGTATGGGGGAGCAGAGGGAGAGATGGGGCTCTTTAGCAAGAAATGGCGCTTCCAAAGGGGGTACCGTGGACATCTAGCTGAATGTATTGTATTCCTTTGGCTTTATATCCCGCCTTTATGACTTTATAGGGTAATTCAAAGCGGAGAACACACACAATAATACTTCTTCCCTCCTCCTATTTTCCTCACAACAGCCCTGTGAGGTGGGTTGGGCTGAGAGACAGAGAGGGAAGTGCCCAAAGTCACCCAGCCAGCTTTCATGCCTAAGGAGGGACTAGAATTCCCAGCCTCCTGGTTTTCCAGCCTGGGGAACCTCACCTCACCACTAGGCCAAACTGCCTAGTAATCCCTTCACCACTCTCTTCTTAATCCTTAATCCACCCCCAAGCCCTGTTTCTTAGTCTCTGCCTGCAAACCACAGCTGGCCAATGGGATTTTTGGGGAAACCACTGGAATTGGAGGTAGGGATAGGGCTTTTTAGAGAATCCACTGGCAGGTTAAGGAACCAGCGCTATAGGTGGTCCTTGACTTACAGTCACTCGTCTAGTGACCATTTTAAATTACAACGGCACTGGAAAAAGTGATTTATGGCCGTATTCGAATGCAAGCTGTCCAGAGTCGCTGCATTCATGAGTTGTGCTACGCAGAAATCCAGTAAATAAAGCCAGAACCGTTACAGAAATCTTATTAGAAATTTTTTTAGATTCCATTAAGCTAATTGATTCCATCGAGCAAGAAATTGGTGCCTCTTTTACAAACATCCATTTCAATCGATTTTCAAGCACGCGCATTGCCTTTTTGTTTCAAATGGATTTAGTTCACGGTTCCATCCCGCCCATCGGGCTCCAGCCCTTAAACCCGCAGAACATTTTGGTCCGCGTCCTCCTCCTCCTCCTCCTCCTCCTCCTCCATAAGGCTGGCCTGGGTGGATTTCGAAAGGCATGAAACCTTGCATGGCTGGTGTGGAATTTGGCATTATTTCTCCCTCCCACCCACCCCCTCGCCCCCCCAAGTTTCTAGTCCTCATGTTTTTCCCCCCGGAATGCTGTATGTCTGCGTGAGCAAGAAGAGGAGAAGGCAGGAGCTGCTGGGCAGTGTAAATTTATGCGGCGGGGCTGCTCCTTGCCTTCCTCGGCGTAACTTCATTTCCTGCCCTCCAAAGAGAGCCGGGTAACGTCCGAGTTGCTCGGGAATGAAAGGGCACCTCAATCTCAGCCCCTTTTAAGATCCGGGATGGGTGAGTTGGGGTGGGGGGACTTCAACTCCCAGAATTCCCCAGCCAGGATGCTTGGTTGGGGGAATTCCGGGAGTTGAGGTCCATCCGCCTTAAAGCAGGCCGGCTGGAGAAATCGGGGAGTCGAAGTCCACGTCTCTTAAAAGATGCTAAGCCCTTGAGGGGTAGGCAGAAGAGAATTGGGTTTGAGGAGACCCTCCCAACTGTCCCCCCTCGGGCCTGGGGGGCCCCAGAGGATTGCTCTTCCTCACCAGTTCCCACACACACCCCTTTTTTTTCCCCCGACCCATGATCTATGTGTGAACTTGTATTCCCCTTCCGTAGGCCGTGCCCGACTTTCAAGAGACTAGACCGCGTAATTACATTCTCTCCGCCAGTGCAGCCGCGGTAAGACAAGTCCCGGTTCTCACCCCCAACCCCCAAATCTATCCTCGGACATCCCTTCTCCCCCAGACCCCCCCTCCCTCGCGCAGCCCGGACCGAGCACTGGCTGCGGCCAGCATTTTAACGTGAGCCCAGCGACCCTCCGAAGACTAGTGGGGGTGATGAAATAGCAGCGTTCCAATATTTGAGGAGGGTCAAAGCTCCCGAAGGCAGGAGAAGCAGCGACGGATGGAGACTAACCAAGTCGCACCCCCACCTGAGGGTCTCCCCCCTGCCAAGGGGCATTGCAAACAGGCTCCCGTGGGAGGCAACGTTCCCTTCCCCAGCCAAACCCTGGCAGAGGTGCCAAGTTGGCAGACGGGGCGTGGAGGCGAAGGAAGAGGCCGACTGCACAATCATGCGCTGCTTGCTCATTTATTGACTTGTTTCATTGCCTGCTCAGCTTTCCTGGCTGTGACTCTCCAGATGAGCCAGTTTCAACTCCCACAATTCCCCACTCTGCCTTTCAGGCACCGTAGAGGATTCTGGGAGTTGAAGGAGATTCTCCAGACGGGGCAAATAGGCCTTTTGGAATTTCCCCCATCCCGCACTTGGGCGCCGCAGAGCATTCTGGGGGTTTAAAGGGAGACTCTAGGTGGGCACATATATATATATGCTCCCAGAATGCCCTAGCCCTGCCTTTGCTCATTGCAGAGAATTCTGGGAATTGGAAGTCCGCATTTCTGGAATGCTTTAAATATTCCTTTCTCTGTTTTAATTTCCTCTCAACCTGCCTTGAACGCAGGATCCTTGCAAGCCCGGTTAATCTAGTCCTAGGACTGAGCCACCCCAAAATGCCAAATGGGGCGTAAGAATCTTGAGGTTCTTCTGCATGAAACACCGACATAGGCAGTGAAGTCCCAAAGGTGCTTTTTCCAAATAAAAAAGTAGGCCACTGGACTTTCTTTTGTTTTTCCTTGAAGAGGTTTTGCTTCTCATCCAAGAAGCTTCTTCAGTTCTGACTGAAGCTCCGTTCGGACTCCAGTTCGGTCAGAACTGAAGAAGCTTCTTGGATGAGAAGCGAAACCTCTTCCAGGAAAAAAACAAAAGAAAGTCCGGCGGCCTTTTTTGACCTGGATGACGGAGAATCTCCATAGACATGTAGATAGTGAAGCAGACTGTCTTCAGCTCAGACATGGACATTTGACCCCATAACTCCTCCCTCCTATTTTGCCATCCTTTTCCTGTCCTCCCCGCCCCCCCAAAAAATGGCGGAACAGTCTTTTAAGGCAGAAAAAAACAATTTCCACCTGAGAATTCTTGGCCTTCACCCAACCACCACAGTACGGTTCCTTCCCATAGCAGTTCAGGGGGTGCCACCATCGTCCACCCATTCAGACATTGGTCCGGTTCTTCTGGGTTTGTGGCTGTGCTTCTGCCTCACGTTAAAATGTCGGAACCTCCAAAATACCGCCCCCTTCCCCGTGTCCGTTTTCCGCCTTGCTGACGCTCCCGTTGGGAAGGAACCAGATTCAATCCAGATTCAGGGAGATTTGGGGGGTGGGGGGGGGCGATGCACCCTGGCTTTGCAGAGGAATCGCTTTCGTTCAGTGTTGCATGCATGCTGGCTGCTCCCCTAAATCAGGTGTCCTCACCCCACAGGGGGGCCCTTTCTTTTCCAAAGTGGCGTTTTGTGGTCCAAATTGGCAACTTCGGGGGAAGAAACCGAGGGTCTTGTAGAGCAAGGGTCTCCAACCTTGGCCACTTTAAGCCTGGCGGGCTTCAACTCCCATAATTCTGGGAGTTGGTCCTCCATGCTTAAAGTGGCCAAGGTTGGAGATCCCTGTTGTGGAGTGTTTTGACACCACGATGCCTCTTCTTTGGCCGTGGCATTCAGACTGAACCATTTAAGTATGAGCCAGCAGTCTGATGCAGCTGCCAAAAAAGCTAATGCAATCCTGGGCTGCATGAACAGAGGGACGGACTCAAGCCCACGTATAAAGTGCTAATACATACAACTTTCTTTCTTTATTGAATTTATATTGCCTCCTATTCGCCCAGGGCGACTTGAGGTGGCTTACAGAATATTAAAACCTCATTTAAAAACTGCACTACTGAGACCACGCTTCAAATAGGGTGTCCAGTTCTGGTCCCCACAATAGAAGAAGATGCTGAGACCCTAGAAAGAGTGCCGAGAAGAGCAGCTAAGGTGATTGGGGCAGGAGGTTAAACCATACAATGAACAATTGAGGAAGCTAAGTGTAGTCTAGGGAAGAGAAGGACCAGGGGAGACAGGAGAGCAGTCTTCCAATATTTGTGGGGCTGCCCCAGAGAGGAGAAAGGAGGTCAAGCTATTTTCCAAAGTACCCGAAGGCCAGACAAGGAATAGTGGATGGAAACTGAACAAGGAGAGATTCAACCTGGAAATAAAGGAGAAACTTTCTGACAGTGAGAACTATCAACGAATGGAACAGAAGTTGTGGGAGCTTCATCACTTGAGACTTTCAAGAAGAGATTGGACTGCCGTTTGTCAGAAATGGTGTAGGGTCTCCCGCTTGGGCGGTTGGGGGGGGGGGTTGGACTAGATGACCTACAAGGTCCTTTCCAACTCTGATTATCTGTTATCAATTCATTTGCTAGGTGTATGTCTCCAGTCTAACAAAGAAGACTAGGGGCGGCAGGGTAGCAGTCGAAGTCCACGAGGGTTAAAAGTTGCGGCGTTTGGAGGCCACCCGTTGACACCCGTGGGTTTTCTGGGTCTCCATCCAAAATCTGCCCTTGGGACGTGGCCCACTTTGGGGGAAAGAAAGGCTCCCCCTCCCCTCCCCTTGGAAGGGCTCCTTTGCTTGGGCCTGGTCAGGTGGTGCATGGCATGTTGCTTTTTGCGGTGGGCTTTTGCGCCAGATCCCGCCAAAGTGGGCAGACGGTCCATCATGGAGAACGGAAAGTTTCTCCTAGCTCATAGGACAGGCCCCCAGGGGGTCTCCAAACTCAGCCAATGGCCACTTTTAAAGTAGACCAGGGGTCTCCAAACTTTCAAGCTCCCAAAATTGCTGCATGGCTGACTTGGGGGATTCTGGGAGTTGAAGTCCAACAAGTCTTAAAAGCGGCAAAGTTTGGAGACCCCTGGTCTACTTTACTCCAAACACCTGACTGGAGGGGGGGGCGGTTGAGGGAGAAATGGAATCCTCTCCCCATTTGGAGGGCTATCGCCGTCTGCCACTCTGGCTGGGGGACGGGCCCGGCTGCATTTCCCATGGTCACCCCTGTTGCGGCCGCCCCGCGAGGCGGCTTCGTTGTGTAGAATGTGGGCGGCTTGGTGTCTTCTGATGCTGACTCGCTTTTCCGTTTGTCCTGTGGTTCCCCACAGCTTTGGAGTGACGAGGTGGAAAAAGTAAGTACTACCAATATTCCAGTATTCCTCTTTTTCTTTCTTTTTTTAAATCCAAAAAAAAAATGTCTATTTTCCCTTTTCCCGGAAAGGAAGGAAGTCAGCCCTGGGGTGTTGCATTCGTGCAACACAGTGAATCGGGCGGCTGAATGAACCCCATTTCCAGATTTACATGCGGGTAGATCTCGACTTGCAACCATGAGCTGCTCATTTTAGTTGTGACTTCGAACGGCTGCCCAATAAATGGTTGTAAAACGAGGACTCCCTTGTAGCGTGTTCCAATCCCGCCAAAGTCCGTAACCAAAAATAAAAAATCCACTGCAGTAAAATAATAATAATAATTTGGAGTTCTGTTCATAAAATGCAGAAAAGAGGCTAGTGGTGGTGGGAATGGATATGTTTACAATATTGGGAATATTTTGCCGTGGCGGTTGTGCCTTCTTTATGAGGAGGCTCCCACCGTTGTGTGTTGCAGGCGGAGCACGAGCTTCGGCTGGCCCAGACAGAGTTTGACCGACAGGCAGAAGTAACTCGCCTTCTCTTGGAAGGAATCAATAGCACGCATGTGAGTTTTTAATTCATTCCATAAATTTATTTGCCCGCCGTAGGGCTGCCCTAGGGGGCTTACAGTAATCTCCAGTTTTTAGCAAGAGCCGTAAACTTCCCCTGGACATTACGCTGGATTCTTCTTCTTCTCCTTCAGGTCAACCACCTCCGATGTCTCCATGAGTTTGCAGAAGCTCAGACCACGTACTTCGCACAATGCTACCAATACATGTTGGATCTCCAGAAGCAGCTTAACAGGTAAATAAATGTTTTTTTGTTTTTTTTAAATGTTGCCCGGGGTGTATGAAGAGAATATTTGGGGGTCCCATCAAGGGCCAGATGCAGCCCACTTTAATGATCTGGCCCCCCGTTGAATCAGCACATAAAACATTTGGCCAAACTTACGTTTTCAGTAGTCAGAATGGTTGATATGGACTTCAACGGTTTAAGACAGTGAGAAGGATGAATCAGTGGAACGGCTTCCCTCCAGATCTTGAGGGTGATCCATCACTGGAGGTTTTTCAAGAAGAGACCGGACAACCGTTTGTCCGGAATTGTATATTCTGGGTCCCTGCTTGAGCAGGGGGGGGTTGGACTAGAAGACCTCCGAGGTCCCTTCCAACTCTGTTTATTCAGTTAAATTTCCTGAGTTTAGAATAATTGATCAATGGAGCAGCTTGCCTTCAGAGGTTGTGGGTGCTCCCATCCCTGGATGTTTTCAAGATGAAACCGGACAGATGTTTGTCCGGAATGGTATCAGGTCTCCAGATTCAGCAGGGGGTTGGATTAGATGACCTCTGAGGTCCCTTCCAACTCTTATGATTATGTGTTCTCTGCTGTGTTCATATTTGAGCTCTGAAATTTGAGGGTTTTGTTTTTTTTTCATTTGTTGTCTTCTGTTCTGTCCCTCTCTGGCTTTCAGCTCCAGAGGAGAAATGTAAGTTTTCAAAAAAAAAATCAGATTTTTTTTCCTCTTCCCCCCCCCCCCCCCTCCCCCCCCCCCCCCAGTGGTTTAATTTGTAATGGAAACCATTTCAGGGTTATAGTCCCCCAAGCAAGTTTGTTATCATTATCGAAAGCTGGGGGGTTTTCCTTTATAGAAAAAGCACAATTTTTATTAGGGTTTTGCCCAAATGGGTCGAATCGGCTGGTTTGCAACTTCCGGTCCCACCTTTTCTTCCTTTGTCCAGGTTGCCGGGCACCTTTGTGGGCAACACGGAATCCACTTCGCCCCCGCCCAACGCTGCTTCCCCGACAGCCATGGTTGCTGCCACGGGACCTGCCGTGCCCACCCTCCCGGTGGTGACCACGATCGCCGGAGCACCCAATTCGGCTCCGGGGGTCGAAGCTCTGAATCCCAGTGAGGTGAAGCCCCCCAGCAGTGGCACCCGGAAAGCCCGGGTGTTGTACGACTACGATGCGGCCGACAGCAGTGAGCTCTCCCTACTTTCGGATGAGGTGGGCACCCCCGCTATCTCGGGCAAGGCGCTGGGAGAACGCGCGCGCCAGCTGGGGGGGGGGGGTGCAGCCAAAATCCACGGCACCCGGCTCGGTTGTGGCTAACTTAACACTCTGGCTTGCTTGGTCCTGCGGCCCTCCTTTCCCCCATGCTTCCTATGGGGACTTACAGACCAAGATTCATGGTTTGGTGCTACGCTGGTCATAAAGATTTGGTTTGATGGTTCGGTGCAGAAGCTGTTAGCGCCGAGGGGGGAATTTGGGGTGGCAGAATTGCAGGAAATTTACCAATTTTACCTCCCTCCCCTTATACTGGAAGTTAGTCCTTGACTTATGGCCGCGATTGGGATCCAAACCTCCGTCATTAAGCCATGCGGTGGTTAAGTCAGCCTCACCCAGTTTGACAACCTGCTTTGCTGCGGTTGTTAAAAGCAAATCATTGCAGATCATGAGGTCGTTAAGCGAGGCCATCTTCTCCCATTGACTTTGCTTGTTGGAAGCCGGCTGGGAAGGGGTGACAAATGAGTCACAGGACTCCAAGGATGCGACAACCGTCATAAATCCGTGCCAGTTGCCAAGCATCCAAAGTTTTAAATCGAGCGAATTGTTGGAGGAGCTGCGATGGGTCGTAAGTGCGAGGACTGGTTGTAGGTCACTTTTCGCAGGGCTGTTACAAGTTTGAACCGTCACCAAACAAACGGTTAGAAGTCAAGGACTACCTGTATGGCTAGTTGGAACAGGGGGCCTTCAGCCTCCGTAAAGGAGGGATTTTGTACCCTTTCAGATGCTTCCCTCATTCTTTTATTTATATTATATTGTATTATATAGGTAATTGTAAAGTGTTCACGATATTTGAGGTTTCATATTTCGTATCTTTTATCTCTTGTGCTTTTTAATTGAAATGCGATGAGAACGGGCCTTACGGTTAAATAATAATTTCGTTCAGAATTTCTGCCCCAAATCCAAGCTGGGTAAAAAAATAATAATAATAATTCCCCTGCTTGTTTATATGAAGAACTGCCCCAAAAGCGCTTTTGATTTCTTCCAGTAAAATCCTGGTTAGGCCGACCCCTGTCTCCCCCTCCTCTCTTTCAGATGATCACTGTGTACAGTCTCCCAGGGATGGACCCCGACTGGCTGATTGGAGAGCGGGGGAACAAGAAGGGCAAAGTGCCCGTCACCTACTTAGAACTGCTGAGTTAAGCCGGGCAAGGACTCCGCAAGCAAATCACGAGGCCTCTTTCTTCTTCTTCTTCTTCGGAAAGGCTGAAACCGATTCATTCCGAGATCCCGTGCTCTCCCTATTTATTATTATTGTTATCGTTTGGGGTTCTTGGGATGTGTGGATCAAAGCCCCAAAGGGATGGTGGTGAATCACTTTCCCTTCTCCAGGATTTCGGAGACCCCCCTCCATTTATCCTGGTTGGCTTTGAGGATATTTGGGAGCTGCTGCGAAGACGTGCCCAGCTCATTGGGGGGATGGTGGTGGGTCATGAGGACTAGCCACTTTAGAGACCCTTCCTTCCTTCCTTCCTTCCTTCCCATCTTCTAATTTTTCCTTCCTCCTTCCGTTTCCATCTTTCCTCCTTCTCTTCCTTCCTTCCCATCTTCTAATTTTTCCTTCCTTTCTCCCTCCGTTTCCATCTTTCCTCCTTCTCTTCCTTCCTTCCCATCTTAATTTTTCCTTCCTCCCTCCGTTTCCGTCTTTCCTCCTTCTCTTCCTTCCTTCCTTCCCATCTTCTAATTTTTTTCCTTCCTTTCTCCGTTTCCATCTTTCCTCCTTCTCTTCCTTCCTTCCCATCTTCTAATTTTTCCTTCCTTCCTCCCTCCCTCTGTTTCCATCTTTCCTTCTTCTCTTCCTTCCTTTCTCCTTCTCCTTTCCTTTCTTCTTTCCCATCTTCCTTCTTACCTCCCTTTCCTTTCTTTTTTTTTTTCTTTTTGGCCTTTTCTTCCTTTCTTTCTCCCCCCTCTTCTTCTTTCCCCTTTTTCTCACTCTATTTCCCTCGTCCCGTCTTTTTCCGACTCTTCAGTCGATTTCAGACATTCCAGGTAGGGGGGGTAACGTGGGGAGAGAAAGGTGTTTTTTTTTTTTCTGACCGCAGTCCGAGCCTCCCCCCACCCCATTTTTGCTCATCCATCTGAGCCCATTCCCCAACTCCGAGCCTGTTGGGAGAAGAAAGTTTTCGCCTCGGGTCAACCTTTTCGATAGAAAGATCCTAAGAATTTCTCGGCTGAAGTTTCTTTTAACGGTTAGGCTTTGGTTATCTGGCCGTGCACCAGTTTTCCACACCTTTGTGTTTTCTCTCTCTCGCACTGCCTTCATGTGTGCAAACACACACACACACACAACACAAAACACATCTGCCTGCAGATCGAGGAGCCCGGACTTTGTCAAATCTCTTCACGCCCCATTGCTCGAATCCTTGGGGGGGCTTCTCCCAAATTTGAAGCCATATGCAAAACCAGTGTAAGCTAGCATCCAGCATGGAGGAGATTCGGCCACCGTCCCACTGCCTGAGGCCGTGTGGCTCAACGCTTGACCGGTGCTTTTTTTTTTTTTTTTTCCCCTTCTTCGTGCTTTTAAGCTGATGTCGGGTTGCAGAGCCCTTCCGTAAATGAAATATATTTTGAACAACTTGCAAACAGCCTGTCGTCTGTTCTCTCACTGGGCTTCATTTCATTATCCCCTCTTGAGTTTCTTCTTAGTTTCCCGTGGGGGTTTAGGTAAATTCTGCTCTTTCTGGGGAGATCCGTTCCAGGCTGAGCCTTTACGAGGTTCCTTTCCTGGAGGAACCCACGGAATGTCCCAGGAGGGTGGGGCATTGCCAAATCTTTTGGGGCAGGTACGTTTGGCCGGCGGGAGACTCTCGCTGGCGTGATCTTCGGGCAAAAAAAAAAAAAAAAAAACCATAGTCCTGTGGCTTTGAGGAGCTTAGAATCTGCTTTGGGGGAGCCGAAATCATGAATCCTAGGAACAAAGATTGGATCTGAAGCTGTTATAGCAAGAGGGGGATCCCTTCCTCCCCCCAATATAAAACATTTAATTGCCCTTTTCTAAGTACTAGATGTTCTTCCTGTGTGCTCGGTTTGAAGCTTTTGCACGGTTTCCCCCAATTTGAATGGGTTTGTTTTTTTCCCCCCTTTGCATTCTCCGGTGCTTGGCATGTATCCCAGGTCCGAGTCAGGAACACGCCTCTGCCCACAGGGGCCACGGATCTGGGAAATCTCACCAGGGGGAGGCAAGGAACCGAAGCCCACTTTTCTGGGTTGGGCGGGGGGGGGAAACCTCTGCCCCTCCAATCTTTCCTTGCAACTGTTTGCATTCTGCTTTTTTTCTTTCTTTGCCGAGTTCCTTAAACAATCGCAAGACTTTGAAACGGGCCAAGAGCTCACATGTAAAGGAAATGCCCAAAACTCTTGTTACTGCTGTCTTTGATTAATAAAAAGTTAGAGCTGCTCTCAGTTTTCAGCTGCCTTCTTCCAAAAAAAAAAACAACAGGATGTCCGTGGCTCTTAGCTAATTTTTTCCCCCCCCACAAGGCTTAGGCAAAAATCAGGATTCGCCCCAGGGGTTAGGGAAATGCAGGTAGTCCTCAAGTCAGGAGCACAACCGAGCCCCAAATTTCAGTTGCTAAATGAGTCGTTTCTCCAGCGAGCTTTGCTCCACTTTACGACCTACTTTGACACAGTTAAGGGAATCACTGCAGTTTTAAGTTAGTAACCCGGTTGTTAAGTGAATCTGGCTTCCCCATTGACATTGCTTTTTGCAAAGGTCACCTGACCGTTGTAAGTATGAACCAAATTGCTGAGCGTCTTGAATTTGGGTTGCAAATGTGGAAAAAAAATCCCCTCACATTTGCTCATGACTCAGTTCTGAAGTTCCAAAAAGTCCCGCCCACCCATGGCCACATGACCGCATTTCGGGTACTGGTCAGTTTGCAGTGCGCCCCCCCCCCCCAACATCACAACTGCAATTTACAATGATTTTGCCAACGTTTGTGAATGGTTTTTGGTGTTAACAAACGCTCCATGGCAGACAATGGGTTCACTTAGCAACCGGCATATCACTCAACCTCCAGGGTGATTCGCTCAACAATTCCCCACCCCCCAAAAAATGGTAGCCAAATTGGGTCAGTCGCATGATGATCTGCTTTGAAACCATCACGCCTTAGCCACTGTAACAGGCAGGTATAAAAGTCCATAAAATGAGGACCCGGACTGTTGGGGGGGGGGGCAGAGGCCTGGCCTTGTAAACAGCCCAGAGAAGGTTGTAAAGCACTACAGGGCAGGCAGTCCTCGAATTACAGCCGTAATGCAGCAACAGCAATGGCCCTTAAGATGACGGACATCTTAAGGGCCATTGCTGTTGTTGCATTACGGCCGTAATTCGAGGACTGCCTGCCTTTCAATCTCGACCCAAAGCAAAACACGCTTGTTTCATCCCGTATGTTTCATCGAGATGGCTGAAGGATGTTTTACGGGTTCGGGTGTCGACGTCAGAGCAGCCAAGAGCCGCTGGGGGTTCAGGATACGAAGTGTGGAGAGCCGACGACGTTAACCAGAGGCCTCCTCCGACAGTTTTACGCGCCGCTTTTATCCTTTCCTGAAAGCTTGGAAGCCGACCTGAACATTCAAGAGGTTGGAGGCCCCAGCGTTGCTTAGAAACATGTTTAATCAATATAAATAGGAAACAAAACTCGTACAAAAAAAGAGGGAGATTCAAGCAATGGGATTCTGGTTTTTCGGCCCTGCCCTGGAAAGGGGATGGAGGACTTTATAAAAAATATCTCCTCTCTGCCCTGGGAAGAGCAGAGATGGGTCCAGTGGGAAGCAGGAGGTTCTCTGCTCTCGTTTGCAAAGCTCATTGCAAAACTATCCTTTTGACCTACGAGATTAATCGTATATATATATATATTCCGCCCCAAAAGGGAGATTCGAGCTCTCTCCATCTGCTGTACGTTAAGCTAGAAAAATAAGGGGCAGGCTTATGAAGGCCAAGCCAAATTTACTCGTGACACAATTGCTCGGGGGTGTGTGTGTGTGTGTGATGATGGTGGCCTTTCCTGCAGACAGTGGTCCTTCGCTGGAAGAGAACAGTCAACGCCTCCCTGGGGGTGGAGGTCCCGGAATCGACGGGAGACGAAGCTGGGGTGGGAATCGCCTTGAGCCCCGGTGTGTGTGTGTGGGGGTGTCTTTATCTTTGCACGTGTCTGACAAAAGTGTGCACCAGCTGGAAGAGGGGCTCCTGGCCTTCCGGCCCCAGCTTGGAGGAGGGCTTTCCCTGGGGAGGAGGGAGAAGGGCCCCGCCAGGCGAGGAAGGACCCCCGCGGCGGAAGTAGCGAGACAGGCTGGAGAGCAGCGTGCTCTGAAAAAAGAACATAGGACGACGTCATGCCTTCTGTCACAGGAAGGGGGTTAAGAGGCTGGTCTAGAAACCGGGGGGCCTGGGAGTTCCAGTCTCACCTTAGCCTTGAAACCCACCTGGGAAACTCTGGGCCAACCACCAGGAATCGTGAATTCTAGTACTGCCCTAGGCATGATAACCTTGGGCTAAAATAACCAGGAGACGGGGAGTTCTCAGTCCCACCCCAGGCACGAAAGACGGCTGGGTGGCCTTTGGTCAATCACCAGGAGGTGGAGAGTTCTAGTCCTGCCTGTAGGCTTTGGGTCAGTTTTCCTCTCTCAGCCCAACCGCCCACCTCACAAGGTGATGGTTGTGGGGGAAACAGGAGGAAGGAGGGTCCGTCGGACACGTTCGCCAGCCTAACGATAAAGGCAGGATGCAACAGCCAGTCTATCTCCTTGCCATTTTTTTGCCCTACGTGATGGGACGGCCGCCTTCCCATTCATGCCCAGCCAAGGGCAGCTGCTGCCAGGGAGGAGGGGAAGGGCAGCCCGAGCCCTCTGCCCTGAGCCAGGCCGGCTCCCTTACCAGCTCTGAGCTGAGCTCCTGTTTCATGCGCTGTTTATCGCGCGAGTGCACCGCCGGGTCCTTCAAATACCGAACCGCCTGAGAGATGAGCAGGTAGAAGCAGTTTTCCATGGTAAACATCAGGAGGGGCCTGGAAGAAAGACGGCGCTTGACTGAGCCACTGAAAAGCGCGAGCAGGCGGGGGTGGGGAACGGTGGCCCTTGTTGGCACAGGAATCCTGGGGGTGGGAGTCCACAAGGCACCAAGGGGGCCGTCGTTCCCACCCACCCACCTCTGCCCTAGTGAAAAGGCTGGTCCAAATGCAAACAGCGGCCTAGCGTTCCCCCAAATCTATCCCCCCAAAGTAGAGTGTGCGTGTTTGCCGCTTTGAATTATTTATCAGAACAAATACAGGAAAAGAGAAAAGGAAAGAAAAAGAGGGAGGGAGGGAGGCAATAGAAGCAGCAAAGTCCCTTTCTGAGCAATTCAAATATTCCTTGGGCTAGCATGAAGGGGACTGTGCCGAGGAACCGAATTGGCTGCAGAAGTTGCTGTCAAGCCCACGGCAAACATCTAATTTAAAAAAAAAAAAGGACTTCTTCTTCAGTTCTGTGTTCCAAAGGTGGTCAAAGCCCCGAGGTACCTACTTGAGGGTCTTGTTCCCTTCCTGCTGGGGGGAGGGCCCTGCAGCCAGACTGAAGGGGTCTTTCTTCTTATCCAACTTTGGGAAGGAAAAAAAAAA